GGGGTACCGTCAAGTCGTGCTTTACCTTGTTATCAGTACGTACAGGGGCACCATCAAGACGTGCTTTACCTTGTTATTAGTACGTACAGGGGTACCGTCAAGTCGTGCTTTACCTTGTTATCAGTACGTACAGGGGCACCGTCAAGTCGTGCTTTACCTTGATATTAGCCCGTACAGGGGTACCATCAAGTCGTGCTTTACCTTTTTGTTAGTATGTCTTGTCAAGAAATATTACAAAAACAACTTAGGATTTAAGAAATTTTACAAGAGCCACCTCCGTGCCAAAAAGCTGTACAAAACAATTTCTTAGGTAGGAAACATTACAAAAACAAATTCTGGCTAAGTAACATTACAAAAACAACTTTCTGGCTAAGTAATATTACAAAAACAACTTTCTGGGTAAGAAGCATTACAAAAACAATTTCTGGCTAAGTTACATTACAAAAACAACTTTCTGGCTAAGTAACATTACAAAAACAACTTTCTGGGTAAGAAGCATTACAAAAACAAATTCTGGCTAAATAACATTACAAAAACAACTTTCTGGCTAAGTAACATTACAAAAACAACTTTCTGGGTAAGAAGCATTACAAAAACAAATTCTGGGTAAGAAGCATTACAAAAACAAATTCTGGCTAAATAACATTACAAAAACAACTTTCTGGCTAAGTAACATTATAAAAACAACTTTCTGGCTAAGTAACATCACAAAAACAAATTTGTGTTCATTAAATATTACACAAAACAACATTATAGCCAAGAAACTATTACAAAAACAACATTATAGCCAAAAAACAATTACAAAAACAACATTATAGCCAAGATACAATTACAAAAAAAAACATTATAGTCAAGATACAATTACAAAACCAACAGTATAGTCAAGAAACAATTACAAAGAAACTTTATAAGTCAGAAAATAAAACAAAACCAATCTTTTAACCAATAGAAATAACAAAAATAGCTTTCTAGGAAAAAGAATTACCATAACAATTTCCACGTCAAGAAAACTTCAAGGAAAATTTCTGGAAACGTTTTTCGAACGAAGAAACGTTGTGAATACAAATTTCAATCCATGAAACATTAGGAAACCAAGTTTGGTGCCAAGAAGTAAAATAAAAATAATTTCTGGAAACGTTTTGAGTCGTGAATATATATCATGTATATCATAATCAAATGCGTCAGATCTTATAATCGCTAAAAGTTATTTTTCATGTTTTGTTACATGAAAACTTTATTATTTAGAGAAATTTAGAATTTTGGCACAGTTTTTATTGGTTCAGAGTTCTCCAAAAAAAAAATTATAACTCCACTAAGCTTAAATCTATTAAAGAAACAAATTGCTTAAGACAGAAATCTGTATTTGTTTTACTGATTTCCGAAACATGATGTCAGACTGTTGCAAATTTGAAGTTCTTCAGCTGGGTCACCATCATAAAAACGTGTATTTATTTAATTAGAATATCCAAAGATAGCACCTACCACGAGGAAGCCGATCACGTGATTTTTAAGCCTTTTTCGTAGGCTGTTTTGTAGGAACATAAAGAGTGTATTTAAATGTGAGAACGTTTTTTTTTTTTTTTGCTAGAACAAAGAACAATCCGTCTGGACCTCGAAATGAAACATTCGTTTGAGAGTTCACGTGTCACTGGAAGTAAACGACCTCTCATCCTGTTCTATTTTTTTTGTTTTCCATCTTTTGCTGGGTGATGGTGGGGAGGGGGAAGGCGTTAAAGGTCGTCCCAAGAGTTAGAATTTCCGGCCGATCGACGTGCTGTACCAATGGTTCCACTCATTTAGTGAACGTGCGTGCCTCTGTGCCTGTCAGTTGCTACCTGCACTGTACGTAAAGAATATTGGTCCTTTACAGTCCTACAGCTAATCTATAAATCATTTAACATGACTCCATAAATGTCCTGACCAGCTGCTTTAAAAATAACGTATATAATGACTTTGTTACAACTGAATGTACATAACATAGAATACTCACTACGTTCTTCGTCCTGTCTTGGTTGTTACTATGAACTGGTGTTAGAGATTAGAAGGCTCGCAAGCTTCTTGGGTGTGGTGTAATTCAGGTGCATCTTAAAGTTTTGGCGTCACATCTTTGGCGTGGTGTAATTCAGGCCTGAATTATAGTGTTAACACCTCATTGGTGTGTAATTCAAGCTTGGTATCATATAATGAGAACATCTCATTAGGTGCATCTTAAATGTTTGATGTCACATTTTTGGGTGTGGTGTAATTTAGGTGCATGAAAGGTTTTGGTGTCACAATCTTGGATGTGTTGTAATTTAGGCTTGGATCATAATGTTAACACCTTACAAGGTGCATCTTACATGTTTGGCGTCACATTCTTGGAGGTGGTGTAATTCAAGCTTGTTACCACATAATGTTAACACCTCATTAATAGAATTGTAAGTGTTTAGTGCTACATTTTTGAGTGTGCTGTTATTCAGGTGCATCTTAAACGTTTTGGTGTCACATTTTTGGGTGTGTTGTAATTCACATTTGATATTACATAATGTTAACACCACATTAGGTGCATCTTAAAAGTTCGGTGTCACAATCTTGGGTGTGTTGTAATTCACATTTGATATTACATAATGTTAACACCACATTAGGTGCATCTTAGAAGTTCGGTGTCACAATTTTGGGTGTGTTGTAATTCACGTTTGATATTACATAATGTTAACACCACATTAGGTGCATCTTAAAAGTTCGGTGTCACATTCTTGGGTGTGTTGTAATTCACGTTTGATATTACATAATGTTAACACCACATTAGGTGCATCTTAAAAGTTCGGTGTCACATGTATCAGAAACTTGACCCCTAGTCCTAGTTTTTAACGAATGAGGTCACTCTCTAGCAATAAAGATTTATTTACTTGAAAAGTTAGAGTAATTCATTTTTAACTTGGATTTTGTTTTTAAATTGTCTTTAGTAACTTAGTTATCAAACGCTTATTTTATTGATAAATTACGATTATTTTAACTAATTTGTCTCCAACTATTGTTGATTTAGGAGCTGTTGTGAAATTACGAAAGTGCTAAGTTTAAAATGGGTGTTTTGTGAGCTTTTTCCATAATTAACATTTTTGTTCACGTTTAACACATTGTTTCTCTATTTTGAAATCATTGTACCATATGTTGTAATTTTCGTATTATCTGAAAATATTTACATTTTTTGTAATGCAAATTGCTGCAAGAGTGTTTGTGTGAATTGAAAACAAAGTTTCTATCATTTTGTTAACCTTCAAACGAAATATCATTCGTGCGTTTAGTAAATATTACATATCGTAGCGGGAAATCTACAATCGAGAGTTCCTTAGTCTAAATAAAAAAATGTAATTTAAATATATATATTTGCTTCTCTGAAGACACAGCTGTGTTATTACCCTAATGTATAAATATCTATGATTTTCAATTATCAAAAGATGGCGCTGTTATCAAAAAAACCCTCATCACAGATATTATGAAATCAGGCAAGGTCAGTAAGTTAGTAGACGTACGGGTTAAACCAGTTTTAGGAAAATTAAATAAAAAAAATAATAAACGCTACTGTACTAAGTAAATACTAGTAGTTTTTCAAAATCATATATTACTTGTGTTCTTATTCAACAAATATGTTTGTTTTTTCTGAAATAGAGAGAAAGAACGGAGTAACACAGCGGCAAAATTCTAAGCCTTACTTCACCGATAAGAATCAGTGGATTTACCTGCGAGGGTTAAAACAATATTGTGTAAGGTCATATTTGTAGCAACTGAATTCCTGGGTTTCGTTCTAGGTGTATACATCCTTGAATAATATAGTATATTCAGTGTAATTATCTTTCCAGTACTCTTCAACCAGACACCTAGACCGTCTGTATAAAAACATGGCATTATATCATATCACACAGGTTCCTATTTACACCCCGGTATTGGGATTGGTTGACACTAATAGTGTTGGTAAGGGCTTGGCTCAACAACAAGTATAGTTTAAGTTAAATATTACCTGATCTCCCAATTTTCAAGAAAAAGTCAATGTTCTGCAATAGACTTACCGTTAGAGGGTGCTAAATTTTATGAATTAAAAAACAAGGAATCGAATGAAATATTCATTGAGTAGTTTATTTTTTTTTTAAAGTTTACAAAGGAAACAAATACTTTATTAAAGCGATTTAGAAAATCTTTCAAACACAATATTTTAACAATCCTCAACAAAAACTACAACGTTTTCGTGAGTTGTAAATAAATAAAATTTCTCTTGGATTTTCAGCTAAATACTTGACTCTAATTTATAATAACGAAATCTGTTTCTCGCGTTGCTTTAAATGGGAGATCTGTTGAAATGATTCTGTTTTGTGTAACCACCGAAGGTTCTTGTTTGGGTAAAGGAGCTGAGTCTGAAATGGAGAATGACAAGAGTATTTGGTACATTATAAAATGTATCGGAGCTAGATAATCAATACTTACGTTTTCCCGACTGTCAGCACTACACAGCCACCAAAAAAAAATTGGTCAGTAACTTCAAAATTTAATTATAGCAAGTACAATCGTACATAAAATCGTTGACAAATTTCGAACGGAACCTTATGGGATAATTTTGGTTTGGTTTTGGTACTTTTTTTTCTCTTTTTTTTTTAAGTAACATCGAACCATTGAAGACGTGGCTTAAAAGTAAAATGTTTCTCACTAGTGTTTTTAATTTGGTAGAATGTTTCTTTACAAACAACTGTATAATTAGGCCAGAAATTGACTTCGAAAAGCTTTGTTGTGTCCTTAAGCCTTTAATGTTCTGAATACAGATTTATGTTGCTAAATATTAGAAGTATTAACAACAAAATATCGTAATAAATTGCTTTGACTGTATCTTTTATGCACATGTAAACAAACAAATGTAAGTGTATACATGTATGCGTGGTTTATAGCAAGTGATGATTCGTGGAAATACCGGATCTAAAAAGCAATACCATAAATGGAGACTTATTTCCACTATTTTAAGCAGTAACACACAACATGTTTACCCGTGCTACGCATGCCATTATACTTCACCTATATTTGGTGTCGGCTACCAACCGACCTCCTCATGCAGTTCAACCCTCATTCGCGGCATTGAGGTGATGAAATTAAAATGGCTGCCAAACACGAAATGTTTATCGGATTAATTATCCATTTGAACTCAATATTCAAAGAGTCCATCTGAGTTTCTCTACCAAATTTCAATAATATCGGTTAAGCCAGCTCCTTACAATAACTTTGACACCCGACAGATTGACGGACATCTTTGTTTTATTTATACAGAAGATATGAGAATAAACAAGTTATAAAACTAATATATAGCTCATATTATCACCTGGGTTGCCCTGAGAAAAGTGCATATAGTTATATACCCTCTTTTATAAAAATGTGTACTCGTTTGTATATAAGAAAGACAAGAGTAAGATGCCAAACCATCACAATGGTGAAGATTGCTGATGGTCCTGATGAAGAAAGGACCACTCTTTACAGCCCCTTTAGGGTCGTTTCTTTAATTTTGGTGACCACTCTCTAGTGATACACGATGTTGTCATACTTCAAAATGATGGGAATTACAAATGATATAATCTAATACCCCCAATTTATAAAGATTGTCCGTAGAATATTTAGAAGTTGATGGCTTACTTCAAAATATGAGGGATTACTGATGAGATATCATGCTGTCCCTGAAATGTGGTAAATTTCTGTATTATTTGAAAAAGGGGATTACTGATGGGATATTCAGTAACCCCCAATTTTTATGAAGACTGTCCCTCATTTGTGGTAAGTGGATATTTTACTTGCGGAATGTAGTAAGTTAATATCTTAGTTCAAGATGAGGGAGAGCATGATGGGATACATACTACCTTCACTTTATGAAGATTCTTCACGTTATTTAGTGAGTTGTTATCTCACTCTACAATGGAAGACTACTGATTGTATATCTTCTTCTTTCATGGTAGGTTTTTAGTTTTAAATTTTATTAAATTGAATATAATCAAAAATGTTCTTCATACTGCTCAGGATTGTATGATTACTTGCTCTTCATACTGCCCAGGATTGTGATTACTTGCTCTTCATACTGCCCAGGATTGTGTGATTACTTGCTCTTCATACTGCCCAGGATTGTGTGATTACTTGCTCTTCATACTGCCCAGGATTGTGTGATTACTTGCCAACTGGGTGAAAGAAAAAGATAGAAACATTTAAAAACAATCTTGAATTATTTAACCATGAATGCGTTGGATAATGCTACCTTAAGCCCAAAAATTTAGACTTCTCATCTTCTACCACCCGTACTTTATAAAGCCCCCCCCCCGTAGACTTCCCATCTTCTACTAGCCGTATTTTATAAAGCCCCCCACCCGTGCCACTTTTCTTAATCCACAGGAACAATGCATTAAGTGATGTCTACTAATCTTGGGTAATGAGTGTGATTACAACTGATGTACTTATAGAAAGCCAATAAGTTAGTAATTTTTTTCCGTTTTTAGAACGTTACCTATATCACTGACCTATAACATTACAACTGAGCTACTGATAGAAAGCCAATAAGTTAGTATTTGTTTTCCGTTTTTAGAACGTTACCTATATCACTGACCTGTAACAAATCTATTTCTGGTAAACATTTGAATCGACAGAAAGCACCCAAATCTGGCTAGAAATCAAGCTTGTATTATGAATTTAACAATATCCATTATCTGAATGTGTCACGTTCGTGCTCACGTGCGCGTGTGGACACGACAATAACCAGTGGCAACCCATACACGACAGAAGTAATTTTACGATGTGCAGGCAAGAGAACCAATAGATCTCAGGCCTCGCATTTTAGGGACGATTAAAAGTAAATCCCAGGATAATAAGATATAGCATAATTGCAGCCACAGTCTCTCACTAAAGCAGGTTGACTGATTACACGTGTACTAAACATGTATGAATATGTATGTTGGTTTCCATACATCGTTACTAAAAGTATCTCGTAACGAACAGGAGCATACCATCAATCCATGCGTTACCTAAAAGACACGTTCTAAGCGCACTTACTTTGTTTCTGTTGTAATCATTCTTCGAAAGGCACTTTAGGTGTATCCAAGTGTTTTATATTTCTATTAAACGGTTCGCGCAATGATACAATTTCATGGAATCTACAATGGACTGATTATCTCATACGAAGAATCAACCATATGAAGAATCAACCATACGAAGAATCAACCATATAAAGAAACAACCATACAAAGAATCAACCATACGAAGAATCAACCATACGAAGAATCAACCATACGAAGAATCAACCAAAGGAAGAATCAACCATACGAAGAATCAACCATATGAAGAATCAACCATACGAAGAATCAACCATACGAAGAATCAACCATATGAAGAATCAACCATATGAAGAATCAACCATACGAAGAATCAACCATACGAAGAATCAACCATACGAAGAATCAACCATACGAAGAATCAACCATAGAAGAATCAACCATACGAAGAATCAACCATATGAAGAATCAACCATACGAAGAATCAACCATACGAAGAATCAACCAAAGGAAGAGATTTTACGTCTGAGCGTTGTCCGGGAAGGAATACAGAAACTGATTTAGAAATATTTAGATATTTCAAATAAGGAATACAGCAATGTCCAAACGACAAAGGTTGGGTATTTATTTGAATAAATGAAGGCAGTAGTTTCAAAACCTTCAAACTTGAGAAAATTAAAGATACTAATCCTTTAAGCCTTGACATCTGAATATTTTGAAGCATGAAAATCTCGAAGCTTGTATATTTGGTAGAACAAACACAAAATTTTCAAAATACTGAAACTTAAAACAAACACAAAATTTTCAAACACCGGAACTTGCACATTTGGCAGAACAAACCTCAAAATTTTCAAAACCTCGAAACTTATATATTTGGTAAAACAAACAAGTTTTCAATACACCAAAAGATTGTACATTTGTAGAACAAACATAAAATTTTCAAAACACTGAAACTTGTACATTTAGTAGAACAACTACTATAACATTTTCAAATTGTTGAAACTTGTAAGTTTGGAAGATTAAACGTTATACTATCAAAGAGTTGGTTCCCCCCTCCTAAGTTTTGTAGTTATTTATTTATTTTTTGCTGACAGGTGCCTTCCAATTTTTAAAGAACTAAAACAGTTGATAATTGAAATTATGGATTCTCGTTTTTTTCACCATCTTCTTTAGTGAAACGTTCAGAATTCTTATGGTGATAATCTTCTACAGGTTTCTTAGTTTCACAAATTATATACGCATGCCTGCTAAAGAAACATTGTCGGCTTGAGGTCAAGCCTGAAATAAGGGAGAAAGGAAAGTGTGGTATATAAATATATCATGCATTTTTTCCTTATTGTAGCATTTATTTTGAATTTATCGGTTATTCTGTATAATTGCAGTTTTCACATAACATGTCATCAAGAAAATCATTAAAGAAATATCTTTTTTAATAACGTTTCACTTTCTTCCTACTGCTTTATTTTAGTTAGTTAGTATTTCTTTGTACCCGTATACGTCAAATACGGCAAGACATTTAACAGATATATATACCTATAACGCAAAGAACGAAAACAAATAATTATGTGTGACCCATTGTGGAACTTGAAAAACTCAGCATTCACAGTTACAAAAGCAAACCATAGTTTGTGTATGGCACTTGAAAATTTACGAAGTTACTCCTTTTCCAGTGTTGCGCCAATGTCGTTAAATATCAACAAAGACCTGCGTTTTTCAGTGATCTTAAATGTGAGAGTAAAGGTTTCTAAACAACTGAAACACGATCTAGAGAAGAATGATGCCACTTAATTAATTACCAAATATATTTATATTCATTTTTTTTTTCGTGATGCCTACGTACACAGTAGGAAGCCTCTTCAATTGCAGTTATGAAATAGTTCCAATGAAAATCTAACATACTGTAACTCCCTGCCTATGCTCAAAAGGCGACTTACTTGTATCAGTGATTGACATACACAATACGTTACGGTGAAGATAATTTTACTTTTCGGTTACTTGTTTGTAATTAAGCACAAAGCTACACAATGGACTAT